TTGTTTCATTCCCTCCATTTGTCACTTCACTCATTTACTTGAAGCTCCTCTTCTTGCTGAGATACTAAAGGAGTTATTTTCCCTTCTTTGCCCTTTACTTGATTAGGGCACATCATCCATTCCCCTCTATCTTTTACCTCCTCTCTCCTTTTTTATAAGCCCTTCCATTCTGTCAGTGAGTCCTACAAAATACATTGATTCACTTGTGGTAAGGGATGGGATTGTGAGGTCTGATCCATGGTTTCTCAGGCCTGTTCCTTCACAATAACTTCTGTTTCTTTATGTGCCTCTTTTATCTTTATCCCCTTGTGTACAAATGAAATGAAATTAATGATTCCTGTGATATATCTTTCTGTGATGTGTTTACAAGTCAAATGGTCTGTTCATGTCTTTTTTCTTTTTATTTGTTTTTAATTTTATTTGGCATTTTATTTTTCCCCAGTTCCAGTTACATATAAAAACAATTTTTAACATTTGTTTTTAAAACTTTGAGTTCCAAATTCTCTCCCAACCCCGCCGCATTGAGAAGGCAAGCAATTCGATATAGGTTATACACATGTAGTCATGCAAAACTTCCATAATAGTCATGTTGTGAAAGACTAACTATATTTCTTTCCATCCTGTCCCACCCCCCCCATTTATTCTATTCTCTCTCTCCTTTCACCCTGTCCCTCCTCAGAAGTGTTTGCTTCTGATTACTCCCTCCCCCAGTCTGCCCTCCCTTCTATCATCCCCTCCTCTCTTATCCCCTTCCCCTCTATTTTCCTGTAGAGTAAGATAGATTTCCATACCCAATTGAGTATGTATGTTATTCTTTCTTTAAGTCAATTCTGATGAGAGTAAGTTTCACTCATACCCTCTTACCTTCCCCCTCTTCCCTCTCATTGTAAAAATTTTTCTTGCCTCTTTTATGTGAGATAATTTATTCCATTCTACCTCCCCCTTTCTTTTTCTCTCAGTACATTCCTTTTCACCCCTTAATTTTATTTTTTAGATATCATCCCTTCATATTCAGTTCACACCTGTGCCCTCTGTCTATATATAATCCTTCTAACTACCCTAATAATGAGAAAGGTCTTATGAGTTACAAATATTATCTTTCTGTGTAGGAATGTAAGCAGTTTAACAAGTCCCTTATGATTTCTCTTTCCTGTTTACCTTTTCATGCTTCTCTTGAGTCTTGTATTTGAAAGTAAAATTTTCTTTTTAGCTCTTGTCTTTTCTCAAGAATGCATGAAATTCTTTTATCTCATTGAATGTCCATTTTTTCCTGTCATGGATTATGATCAGTTTTGCAGGGTAGGGGATTCTTAGTTTTAATCCTAGCTCCTTTGACCTCTGGAATATCATACCCCAAGCCCTCTGATCCTTTAATATAGAAGCTGGTAAATCTTGTGTATCCTGATTGTGTTTCCACAATGTTTGAATTCTTTCTTTCTGGCTGCTTGCAATATTTTCTCCTTGACCTGGAAACTCTGGAATTTGGCTATAATATTCCTGACAATTTTCATTTTGGCATCTCTTTCAGGAGGTGATCAGTGGATTCTTTCCATTTCCATTTTACCCTCTGGTTCTAGAATATCAGAGCAGTTTTCCTTGATAATTTTTTGAAAGATGATGCCTTGGCTCTTTTTTTGATCATGGCTTTCAGGTAGTCCAGTAATTTTTAAATTATCTCTCCTGGAGCTATTTTCCAGGTCAGTTGTTTTTCCAATGAGATATTTCACTTTGTCCTCTATTTTTTCATTCTTTTGGTTTTGTTTTATGATTTCTTGATTTCTCATAGAGTCAATCCATTTACTGTATTCTAATTTTTAAGGAATTATTTTCTTTAGTAAACTTTTGCATCTCCTTTTCCATTTGGCCAATTCTGCTTTTGAAGGCATTCTTCTCCTCATTGGCTTTTTGGATCTCTTTTGCCATTTTGTCTACTCTATTTTTTAAGGTGTTATTTTCTTCAGTATTTTTTTGGGTCTCCTTTACCTGTTGATTCATTTTTCATGATTTTCTTGTATCACTCTCACTTCTCTTCCCAATTTTTCCTCTACTTCTCTTACCTGATTTTCAAAATCCTTTTTGAACTCTTCTATGGCCTGAGACCAATTCATATTTTTCTTAGAGGCTTTGGATGTAGGAGCTTTGGCTTTGTTGTGTTGTTCTGAGTGTGTGTTTTGATCTTCCTTGTCACCAAAGCAAGTTTCTGTAGTCTGAGTTTTTTTCCCGTTGTTTGCTAATTTTCCCAGCCTGTTACTTGATTTTTTAACTCTTTGTTAAGGTAAGGCTCTGCTTCCATTGTGGAGGGTGAACTGTCTCAAGCTTTAGGGTTTTTTTTGCAGCTGTTTTCAGAGATGCTTCTAGAGACCTGTAAGTTTTCAGTTCTTCCAACATGGTATGATCTAAAGAGAGGTATGTTTACTGACCTGTGCTCTTGTCTGTGAGTGACCTCAAGCACTCTTTTCTGCCCTGGAACTGTGAGGAGGGTCCCCTCTCCACTGCTGCTGCAAGTTCTGCTACGCTGGTGCTCCTCCTTGCCTCAGGATTGCCACCCAGGATTGTGAACCAGATCCAAGTATGAGCAAAGCAACAGAGTTCAACTTCAGTGCTAGCAAAGAGACCCTTGTAATCTCCTTCGGACCAGTTGTTTAATCTCCGAGCTCCAGAAGCAGCTTCTGCTGTTGCCACTGCTGATACGGTCACTCTCACGGCTTGCTCCTGGTTTGCTGGTGCTGGGGCTGTGCTGAGACTGGGGTTGTGTTGGCGCAGTCTGTGTTAAATGCTCTTCTTTCACCCAGGTCCGACAGCAGGTTCCTGGTGCCAGCAATTCAGTCCCCTGAAGTCTGCTCTGGGTTTCCTGGGGCCCAGGCTATGCTGGCACCTGTGCTGGACTTTGCTCCTCTCTCAGCCTGGTAGAACAGACTTTCCTGTCTACCTTACTGATTGTCTTGGGCTGAAAATTTGTTTTACTCTTATCTTTTTGTGGGTTCTGCTGCTCTAGAATTTGTTTAGAGTCATTTTTAAAGGTGTTTGGAGGAGTTTGGGGGAGAGTTCAGATGAGTCCCTGCCTTTTCTTCACAATTTTGGCTCCACACTCCCATGTCTTTTTTTTTTTTTGAAGAATGCCCTAGAATGCCTCTCTTTTACTGAACAGTAATCTTTTTGTTATTATTATTATTAATGATTAAACCTGAGTGTTCCAGGTATGTCATTTTAGGTAGTATCCTGAACTCCTTTGCTTTTTGGAATATATCATTCCATTTCCCTTTCTGATTTCTGCTGGGTACAGGATAATCTTATTGTATTCGAACTCCCTTTATTTTTGAAGGTCTTCTCCTAGTTGTTTATGGAATTTGTTGTCATTTACTTGTTAAATTCTAGAAAGGATCTGTAGATCTTTTTGTGATTTTTGCTTTATTTCTGTATCCAGAAATTCTGTTTTTTTCTTGCATTATTTATTGCATTATGATATACAGATTTTTGTCTTATATTGTTCTGGAAGGCCTTTCATCTTTTAGCTGTTTCCGTACATCCTTTATTCAAAAGCAATCTATTTTGCTAATAAGGAAATGATGTGTTCTTTTAATGTTTCTGTTTCTTGCTGATTTTCTTCTTGATTGCTTTTCACTTCAGTGCGTATTCTCAATATGTTGTTCATATTTTGGAGAGATGTGCCTCCATGGATTGAAACTTTTCTCTTATGCTAGTTATTTCTGCTATGTAGGCCATGAATTCTACCTTTTGTTCCCTTTTAGCTTCTATTGAGATTTTGATTTCTTTCTTTCAATGTTTGGGAACATCTTACTGGAGTGTCGTGGGAATCCACAGGGTTCTCTGTTTCATCAAATATTGGTTCAATCTTCTTTGTCCTGCAATAGAAATATTTTGATTTATTTCAATTACTTGGTAGCCATCTTCCTTTTTTGGTTTAATATCTTCTGTTGACTTATCTGTGCTTTAAAGTTTTACCAGAGTTTTCTTCCTCTTGATAGCTTTGGTGTTTTAAGATCTCTTTCAGCTCTAAAATTTGGAATCCATAAGTGTATTTAGAACTTTATTCTAGGATGACTGGCTGACTCCTTTAGTCCTAACATTGAGAATTACCCATTAAGTTTTTGTTGGACCCTAAATATACTTCTCAGTTCCAGGGAGGAACATCCCTATCTACCTGCCTCTGAACTGATCTTCTCTGGCCTTCCCTTTTCCCCTTCTATTGCCTTTTAAAAAGAATGTCATTTCACTAAGGTCATTCTGTTACTCTGTGCATTTCTGCTTAGAAGCTGGTCTACTGCTTTTTTTCTATTTGCTTGATTTTGTTATGCTAATGTACTTTTCCTCACTAAACAGTAGAAGTTTGTGCCTTACCTTAAATCAACTTTCTGATCATATATTTATTGGACATAGTTACTATATCTATACCCTTTCTGTTATGCTGGTCAGTAAACAAGTCTGATTAAGGTCATCTTTCCCTCAAATAAGCGTATCAACACTTTTTAAAACCCTCTTTACTTAATTTTCTTTTTTAATTTTGCCATAGAAAATAGCATATATATTACTTTAAAGTTAAAAAATATTATTTTATATATATATGTATATATATACATTACTTTGAAGTAAAATTTTCTTGTGAGGTCAGTATTATAAACACTATTATCCATATTTTATAGGTGATGAAACTAAGTAAGACTCAAAAAACCAAGGGGTTAGAGTATAATCTGTGCTATAAATTGGAGGGAGGTGGATCAGAGTTGTGGGAGACAATTTCTATGCAAGGTAAAATCAGAGAAAGGTTTAAAATCCATTTTCATTTTAAATTATGCTACTTTGTCACTGGGACATGAAGAAGAATGGTTTCAGAAGGACCTATTTTCTTGGTTAAGTATTTCCTTGAGGTCATTTTCTTAATTCATACTAGGATTTTTATTAAGAATTGACAGGCATGTGTTATTTAAATTCATATGAAAATTGATATTCTAACAAAATGTTTTTTTTTCCTGCTTTCATAGGGGGAATCCTAGGAGAAGGCCTTATAAAGAAGGAAGATTTTGTAGCCAATGTGAAGTGGGAGATACATGCCAAGACATGCTATGCAGTAAGATTAAGGCAATAAGTTGAACGTAGAAAGAAAATAATAACATCCATAAATGTATTAGATGACAATGATATGATTTAATAGTGGCTTTTTACTGCCATGTCATTATTGGTCCACCTATCAAAGTAGAATTATGTAACGTTAGAGTTGGGAGCTACCTTAGAAGTAATTTGCTTCCACCTATAACTGTATCATGCTTTATTTCATTTAAAGCATAAATTCCCTTCTAACAAGTGATCAACCAACAATTCTACTTGAGAATAAACTGACTCCCTAAATGGCTCCTTCATTTCTGATAGCCCTTTAGTTGTGTTTCTTAATAGTGAGCTAAAATCTGCCTCCCTATAAACTCCACATAGTGGTCCTGGATTTTGTCCTGTGAAGCCAAGCAGAGTAAGTCTACTTTTCCTTTCTGTTGTATGTATGTATATATATACACCCACATATATGTATGAGTATATACATATATATACATATGTAATATGACATGTAATATATATAATTGCAATCTTCAAGTATTTAGACATATATATACATACATCTATACCTATATGTGTATGTGTGTGTGTGTGTATTGTGTGTGTGTGTGTGTGTGTGTATATATATGTATATGTTGGTAGCAAGGTCTTTTCTTTTCCAGATCAAACTTACTAATTGCCTCAGTTCTAGCCTTTTGATCAAGAATGCTTAGAAATTCTCATTCCTTTAAAAGTCCATTTTCCTTCCTGTATGATTATACTTAGTTTTGTCAGATAGATTTCTCTTTGGTTGTAAAACTTTATCTCTTGCCTTTTGGAATATCATATTTCAAGTTTTCCTCTTCTTTATAGTTGCAGTTGCTAAGTATTGTGTAATTCCTATTGTGGCTTCTTGGTGTTTGAACTCTGTTTGGCTACTAGTAGATTTTTTTTTTCCTTTCACTTGGAAACTTTGCATTTTATTTATGATGTTTTTGAGTTTTCATTTTGCTCCAGAGAGTTCTCAGGGATGTCTACATCACCTTCAGATCCAGCCCTGTCTTTGCCCCAGCTTTCTATAATGTTCTAGAACCTTTCTCAGATCAGGCCCTGAACTGCCACCTACTGACTGACTCCTGTCCAGACTCTTCCAGGCTGTACTTTTGCTTTCCCCTGCCTGCCCTGTGTGTGAGTCTGGCCTCTTGAGCTTCATAGGACTTAATATCTCCATATGCAATGAGGCTGAACCTCAGGGAGAATCTTTACTCGTCTAATCACCTGCTTCTTTCAGCAGACTTCTCTCTAGTCATCTATGTTCTTCTTGGAGTTATTCCTTAATGGTTAGCATACCACCCCCTATTCTCACATTCCAGTGATTTTAAACCCCTGGCTGTCATTGGACACACCTCATTCCTTATCCCTTGCTGTTCCCTTTCTTAGTCTATCCTCCTCTATTCCCCCTCGCCAAATATCCCACTTCAAATCGATCTGTCCTTTCCACTGTTTTCTGGAATATCTGCTCCATGGTTAACAAAGTCATTTTCATCTTAAAATTTTTCCTTTCCCACTCCCTCCCTCTTTTTGACTCTTACTGTGACCTGACTCCCTCCTAATGATATGGCATCCTTGACCACACTTTTCAGTACTGATTGCACTTTCACTCATACCCCCTGGTTCACTGGTCATGGTGGGGGAGTCAAAATACTTCTGTTACCTGGTCTTACTTCCAGAATCTCCCTCTACCACCATCAGTCAGTAACCTCTCATCCTTTGAAGTGCATCCAATCCAAATTTATCACCAAATCAAGATTCTGATAGACAT